GATCAGAGACGTCCGAGCAGAAAAACCTAGGAGCCTTGCACACATTACTGTTACAGGTAGGTGGGCACTCTAATGCGTGATGGTGCCTTATTTCCTGGTGCCTTTCACCCTTTGTCTTGACGTGACCTGTCCGCTTGATGTGCAGGTCACTAGTTCTGTGGGGCGAGTGCCAAGCAAGATTCGCGCGCAGCGTCCAAGAATGGTACACATTCCTCGACGGTTGGAAATTGCATCGTACGGCCAATGCCCTAGCTAACTTTTTTAAGAACCCCAAGCTACCAGTAGACAGAACTTTTGGGTGGATTCTGTCTAGAGGAAGTCAGCTGGGTGTAAAGGCGGCCATATGTCGAAACTTTCTTCTACAGATGAACGAACGACATTTGGGTAGGGGGTGTGTAGGGCAGGACGTGGAAGAGGGTGTAGAGGAGGAGAAGAAGACGAACTGTATCTACAGCTGTTATCGTCCTTGTAAATCAACACTGTCAAATCTTGAACTTGTTTCACTGACACATTAAATCTACAACTGTTTGCGCACCACATGAAGGGATCTTTTATGTGTAAGGGTGACTTGTGTCTGCGATGATGTCTGCAAGACATAGCTGCTCACATGACAGACAGTGATGTGTGCGTCGCCTTTACGGAGCTCAGATTTTGAATCGCGCCTAAGATAATCGTCGGGTAATGAGTAGCGACGTCGGCTCTTCTTTTGTAGCCTCGCCATGGGCTCCTGCGAGCACGTCAGTTTAGTTCTGCCGAGGCGGCAGAGACAAATTTGCACCACCCATGAACAGTCGGGCTAATTTGGGCCTGGAAAATGGCTTGCCATCTTTGGCGGCGTCATGTGAACGTGGCCTTGTTCCGAGCGGGATAATGTCGTCTGCATATCTCAGCCCGGTCGTCAGTGGTTGTGTGACAGGGTTGTCGCCGCTGGCAAGGGTTGTCAGACCCTGTCGTCGCACTCACTTGCTTATCTGGTAATCTTCCTCCCCTCCCCCTTTCTCGCCCCCTTTTCCTGTTTTATTGTTTGGAAACCATTTTCCCATGTGAATTAAAGATATTTTTTTTTTTTTGGGGGGGGGGGGATGTATAAATTTATAGAAATGGCATATGTACCTAGAATCTTAGAGGTTTAGGCGAGCGACTCTCTTTCGGAATTTCATGATGCTCAAAACTCTTACCAGCTGGTTGTTGTTGTTGTTGTTGTTGTTGTTGTTGTTGTTGTTGTTGTTGTTGTTCTTCGTCTTCTTCTTCTTCTTCTTCGTCTTCTTCTTCTTCTTCTTCTTCTTCTTCTTCTTCTTCTTCTTCTTCTTCTTCTTCTTCTTCTTCTTCTTCTTCTTCTTCTTCTTCTGCTGCTGCTGCTGCTGCTGCATTTATTAACACAGAAATGTGTGTTACTGAGTGTCGTCCACTCATGTGTGCAAGCACACATTTGTTCCTACAGTTGAGTGTCTTGATGTGCCGATTGTGCGAGACAAGTGGGGCGCTGATATCGCTGACTGAGTGTGCTGTGATCGTCTACACATCGAACCAAATCACTGACTGAGTGTGCTGTGATCGTCTACACACCGAACCAAATCACTGACTGAGTGTGCTGTGATCGTCTACACACCGAACCAAATCACTGCCTGAGTGTGCTGTGATCGTCTACACACCGAACCAAGTCACTGCCTGAGTGTGCTGTAATCGTCTACACACCGAACCCAATCACTGACTGAGTGTGCTGTAATCGTCTACACACCGAACCAAATCACTGCCTGAGTGTGCTGTGATCGTCTACACACCGAACCAAATCACTGCCTGAGTGTGCTGTGATCGTCTACACACCGAACCAAGTCACTGCCTGAGTGTGCTGTAATCGTCTACACACCGAACTAAATCACTGCCTGAGTTTGCTGTGATCGTCTACACACCGAACTAAATCACTGCCTGAGTGTGCTGTAATCGTCTACACATCAAACCAAATCACTAACTGAGTGTGCTGTGATCATCTACACATCAAACCAAATCACTGTCTTTGTGTGCTGTGATCGTCTACACACCGAACCAAATCACTGCCTGAATGTGCTGTGATCGTCTACACACCGAACCAAATCACTGCCTGAGTGTGCTGTGATCGTCTACACACCGAACCAAATCACTGAGTGCTGTAATCGTCTACACGCCGAACCAAATCACTTACGGAGTGTGCTGTAATCGTCTACACATCGAACCAAATCACTAACGGAGTGTGCTGTAATCGTCTACACATCGAACCAAATCACTAACGGAGTGTGCTGTGATCGTCTACACACCGAACCAAATCACTGCCTGAGTGTGCTGTGATCGTCTACACACCAAACCAAATCACTGACTGAGTGTGCTGTGATCGTCTACACACCGAACCAAATCACTAACTGAGTGTGCTGTGATCGTCTACACACCGAACCAAATCACTGACTGAGTGTGCTGTGATCGTCTACACACTGAACTAAATCACTGACTGAGTGTGCTGTAATCGTCTACACACCGAACCAAATCACTAACGGAGTGTGCTGTAATCCTCTACACACCGAACCAAATCACTAACGGAGTGTGCTGTAATCCTCTACACACCGAACCAAATCACTAACTGAGTGTGCTGTGATCGTCTACACACCGAACCAAATCACTAACTGATTGCGCTGTGATCGTCTACACACCGTACCAAATCACTAACTGAGTGCTGTAATCGTCTACACACCAAACCAAATCACTAACGGAGTGTGCTGTAATCGTCTACACACCGAAACACACCGTACCAAATCACTGACTGAGTGTGCTGTGATCGTCTACACACCGTACCAAATCACTAACTGAGTGCTGTAATCGTCTACACACCGAACCAAATCACTGCCTGAGTGTGCTGTGATCGTCTACACACCGAAACACACCGAACCAAATCACTGACTGAGTGTGCTGTGATCGTCTACACACCGAACCAAATCACTGACTGAGTGTGCTGTGATCGTCTACACACCGAACCAAATCACTGCCTGAGTGTGCTGTTATCGTCTACACACCGAACCAAATCACTGCCTGAGTGTGCTGTGATCGTCTACACACCGAACCAAATCACTGACTGAGTGTGCTGTGATCGTCTCCACGCCAAACCAAGTCACTGACTGAGTGTGCTGTGATCGTCTACACATCGAACCAAATCACTAACGGAGTGTGCTGTAATCGTCTACACATCGAACCAAATCACTAACGGAGTGTGCTGTGATCGTCTACACACCGAACCAAATCACTGACTGAGTGTGCTGTGATCGTCTACACACCGAACCAAATCACTGACTGAGTGTGCTGTGATCGTCTACACACCTAACCTAGCCACTGAGTGTGCTGTGATCGTCTACACACCGAACCAAACCACTGACTGAGTGTGCTGTGATCGTCTACACACCGAACCAAATCACTGACTGAACATCCTGGGGTACAAGAGGATACACCGCCGCCAACGGTGGTAATAAATTGTTTGCTTTCACTGTGAGGACTCCCAGATTTCCACTGCAAGATGTCTCGACAAACGGCCCAGAGGTCAGACATAATTGATCACCAATCGGTGAAAACAGATCCACTGTTGATCAATGGCTGTCCCCTCTTGTCCGGGAGCGAGCCACCTGGGACTATTAGTCTGCACTGTTGGGAGGCAGGGGCGGAACTAGCTGGGGTAACCAGGGAGTCAATTAGTCTGCACTGTTGGGAGGCAGGGGCGGAACTAGCTGGGGTAACCAGGTAGTCAATTAGACTGGATCACGATAAACCCAGGGGGGTACTTTTTTATGTGGCGGATTTGTTCCGAGTTGTGTAAAATTATGGGGTGGAGGATTAAATCCTGTGAATCTTCGGCTCGACGGCTGCTTGTCAGCAAGCTCCAGCAGCATCACAGCAGCGGTGGGTAGTTTGATCGTCAGAAGTGGTTGTTCGTGGTTCGACGCTTGTACACAGAAGAGCAGCTGTCGTTTCTTGCGTCTGTCCCCATTTCCAGGTAGGATGCACCCGGTTTTTTCTGCCACTGCTTGGTGTCTGATTGGCTGCTTTAGCTTTCCCGAAGTTTTGTCGACACCTTTTATTGTCCATAGTTCGTCAGCATGTGCCGTGTCGATTAAAAGAAAACCGGTCATGTTTGGTTATCTCACGGATCAGGTCAGTGTTTTTGTCTCACCCCACCCACGTGACCAGGCCAGCCAGGTATTTACTTCCCTGCCTTCCTATTGCTTTTGTCACATCGCTGTTGTCCCATTGTCCCATTGCTGTTGTCCCATTGCTGTTGTCCCATTGCTGTTGTCCCACTGTCCCATTATTGATGTCCCATTAATCTTGCCAGTTGTTATTCAGTTCTCGAGTCTGTTGCTTTTCTTCCTGTGGCTAAAAACCACAACTGACCGTGTCACCAACTACAGACTTCATACACATATAATTGGTGTCATCTCTGTGGGAAAGTCTTCAACAAACTTTGCGTGTTTAGTCGTGGATGCCTGAATTCATACACATATAACTGGTGTCATCTCTGTGGGAAAGTCTTCAACAAACTTTGCGTGTTTAGTCGTGGATGCCTGAATTCATATACATATAACTGGTGTCATCTCTTCTGTAGGAAAGTCTTCAACAGCCTTGGCGTATTTATTCTTGGATGCCTGAATTCCTGGCACTGTTAAGTAAATAGCCGTTGCTCAAATCTTCGTCTCTACTAACATTTACTTTAATGGTATTTCCGCGGTCTTTTTCGGTGGTTAGGGGGGGGGGGGGTGTGCAGTTCAAGTCTTATGCCAGGTATATATAATATTTCTTTCTATCGGATTGTTCTCGATGTTGTCGTTCCATCTTGCGCATTGTCTCCTCTTTGCTGTGTGCTCATTATTTCCTCAGCGTGGCTGTCTGTGGTAGTTTGTCCCAAATCTTCTTCGTATATCCTTGTAACAAATGGCATCGCTCTGACTGTGACCCCAGCAGCTCTTCTATGACCTCTCTTCTCTTTTGTGATGTTCCGTTTATTTGTTGTTAGGGCTCAGAGCCCGAATATTGTTCTTGCAATATTTGCTGTTTGTACTCACAAGTGTTTCCTGTCTACCGCAACTGTTGTAGTCACAAGACTGTCTCCTGTCTACCACAACTGTTGTAGTCACAAGTCTGTCTCCTTTCTACCACAACTGTTGTAGTCACAAGTCTGTCTCCTGTCTACCACAACTGTTGTAGTCACAAGTCTGTCTCCTGTCTACCACAACTGTTGTAGTCACAAGTCTGTCTCCTGTCTACCACAACTGTTGTAGTCACAAGTGTTTCCTGTCTACCCCAACTCTTGTAGTCACAAGTCTGTCTCCTGTCTACCCCAACTGTTGTAGTCACAAGTGTCTCCTGTCTACCGCAACTGTTGTAGTCACAAGTGTCTCCTGTCTACCGCAGCTGTTGTAGTCACAAGTCTGTCTCCTGTCTACCACAACTGTTGTAGTCACAAGTCTGTCTCCTGTCTACCACAACTGTTGTAGTCACAAGTCTGTCTCCTGTCTACCACAACTGTTGTAGTCACAAGTCTGTCTCCTGTCTACCACAACTGTTGTAGTCACAAGTCTGTCTCCTGTCTACCACAACTGTTGTAGTCACAAGTGTCTCCTGTCTACCGCAACTGTTGTAGTCACAAGTCTGTCTCCTGTCTACCACAACTGTTGTAGTCACAAGTCTATCTCCTGTCTACCACAACTATTGTAGTCACATGTGTCTACCGTAACTGTTGTAGTCACAAGTCTGTCTCCTGTCTACCACAACGGTTGTAGTCCCAAGTCTGTCTCCTGTCTACAACAACTGTTGTAGTTACAAGTCTATCTCCTGTATACCCCAACTGTTGTAGTCACAAGTCTGTCTTCTGTGTGCCGCAACTGTTGTAGTCACAAGTCTGTCTCCTGTCTACCCCAACTGTTGTAGTCACAAGTCTGTCTCCTGTCTACCACAACTGTTGTAGTCACAAGTGTCTCCTGTCTACCACAACTGTTGTAGTCACAAGTCTGTCTCCTGTCTACCACAACTGTTGTAGTCACAAGTGTCTCCTGTCTACCACAACTGTTGTAGTCACAAGTCTGTCTCCTGTCTACCACAACTGTTGTAGTCACAAGTCTGTCTCCTGTCTACCACAACTGTTGTAGTCACAAGTCTGTCTCCTGTAACTGTTGTAGTCACAAGTCTGTCTCCTGTCTACCACAACTGTTGTAGTCACAAGTCTGTCTCCTGTCTACCACAACTGTTGTAGTTATAAGTGTCTCCTGTCTACCACAACTGTTGTAGTCACAAGTCTGTCTCCTGTCTACCACAACTGTTGTAGTTACAAGTGTCTCCTGTCTACCACAACTGTTGTAGTCACAAGTCTGTCTCCTGTAACTGTTGTAGTCACAAGTCTGTCTCCTGTAACTGTTGTAGTCACAAGTCTGTCTCCTGTCTACCCCAACTGTTGCTGGTTGTCCCTATACCTGTTATTGATTTATCTGTGCCCATTGTTGGTGAGAAATGGTGCTGGATGTTTCAAGTATCTTGTTTGATTTATTGGCGCGTCCATCCCTTGTATTGCTGTGGTTTCTGGTTGTCTATTTCTGACCATTCACAATGTGTTTTCCCTGCTATATTATTGCTTCAAGCTCTTTATCGGTTTACTGAAATAGTCCTAGACCCTTTAATACAGTTCCTCATGTTGTGGCCACCCCCGGCCATACAATTTTTTTTCGTTGCTACTTCCTAACTGCATTGTATATTTATTTTCCTGTGTCCTTGACGACCGCTGTGGAAAGTTTGTTCAACCCACAAAAGGATCGCAAGCCACAAGTTGACAACCGCTGTTCTAGAGGCTGTTTTCTTCCTCTGCTGTCCACATTTAATCATTTGCAAATAACAGTTTCCAGATGGTGTTTCTTCAAAAGATGCAGAGAGAGGCAGAGGGTCAAAGAAAAGAAAAAAAGTTGGGCATGAAAGTATAGAGAGTGGGGAAGAGAAATGGGTTCTTTATTTTGTATTCGCCCTAAACAAAGGAAAACCCGGATTTCCCGGTAGTACGGTGTTCTAGACGGGTTATCTATCGGCTGGGGTTAGGGTTAGGGTCTTGTCAGCCCCGACAGCCTCAGAGACACCGACTAACCCAAACTCTAGCCCTGACCCCTCAGAGACACCGACTAATCCAAACTCTAGCCCTGACCCCAGAACATAACATTCCTAGAATTCTGGACTTTTCCGGAAACTATGGCATTTCCTTTAGTTACGGTACATTTAAAAAAAAAAAAAGTAGGTACCGAGAAATGAAAAGAGTGTGGGCTGAAGAGAAAGAAAGACGTAACTGAAAATAGGAACGATTTAATGAAGAAAGATAAGAATACATCTGGATAAAGCGAGACAGCTTCAGAATTGGCCCTTGGGCAAGATTGATGTCCATTGAGAGATCTCAAGGTCCGCCAAATTGATGGCAAATCATTTGTTCCGTTTTAATTGTGTCGCCGATGAAGTCATTGGACTCAGGGCATCCAGCAAATGTCCGAGTCCGGATTCGCTGACCATACACTGTTGCCACAGGCCACTATTGCTGGCCGTGGAGACGACGATGCTCAGCTATTTGTCTGGATGGTAGCGATTCATCTGTCAGGGTCATTCGTACCACTCACTCCATGATGTGTCAGTCCAGATTTATCGCAACTTGTCATCGGGAGACATTCTTGACTCTGATGTCTCTGTGTGATCCGATGGTGGATCCGAGGCCCCGAGATCGATGCTGCTGTCTGTATGTATGATAGATTTCAGTCGCGCGGATGGCAGTCACAGTAACTGTCCCTGATGACTGGGCTGTAATTGATTCTGGTACACGTAAGGTTAGGAGTTGTCCCGCTTCGTCACCGCTGTCTTTCCCGGGCTGTGCCAGGGGTTCTCATGTCTGTAGGCAGGAGGGGGGGGGGGGGGGGGTTACTTTGTCTCTCGTTGTAGCTGTTGCTGTGTCCTCGCCTTTCTGTCTTGACAGTCACACCCATCTACCCACGAATCTATGATTTTATGTGTGAGCTTGAGTCGCTAGCACAGCTGGGTAAACCTGACTGCGCGGCGACCGGGTAACGAACTCCTTGCGGTCCGGGTTCACGCCCGGGTGTAGGCAGAAAAGTCTCATTTCTCCCAGATTTACGGTAACTATCATGGGATCAAGGCCGAATGGTTGTGATATCCATAGTACCGAGCCAAATGGTTACCAGATTATGGTTTCTGGATATTAAAAAAAAAAACTCTATGTGATATGTTTGTGTGTGCTCTGTTATTTACCTACCCATGTTCTAGTCTATTCCACATCTGTGTACTTATGCTGTCTGCTTGTATACGTAATAACGTATCAATCAACGGCTGGTCTCTTGTTGCCTCTCTCAGAGAGAACGGAAGAGACTGACCGACACAGCCCGACACTTCAGGACACGCTGTAAACACCTCCACTATAAACGAGGCAGTGGTTGTCAACCTTGCTTAAGCCGCAACCCTGTTTGATCACTGAGATATTTCATTAATCAGAGGAGCTACAACGACAGCAGAAAACGTATGAACAGAACTACACTAGATCTGCAGCAGAAAACGTATGAACAGAACTACACTACATCGACAGCAGAAAACATATGAACAGAACTACACTACATCGACAGCAGAAAACATATGAACAGAACTACACTAGATCTGCAGCAGAAAACGTATGAACAGAACTACACTAGATCTGCAGCAGAAAACATATGAACAGAACTACACTAGATCTGCAGCAGAAAACGTATGAACAGAACTACACTAGATCTGCAGCAGAAAACATATGAACAGAACTACACTACATCGACAGCAGAAAACATATGAACAGAACTACACTAGATCTGCAGCAGCAAACGAACAAACTACACTAGATCTGCAGCAGAAAACATATGAACAGAACTACACTAGATCTGCAGCAGAAAACGTATGAACAGAACTACACTAGATCTGCAGCAGAAAACATATGAACAGAACTACACTAGATCTGCAGCAGAAAACGTGTGAACAGAACTACACTACATCGACAGCAGAAAACATATGAACAGAAAGAACTACATCGACAGCAGAAAACGTATGAACAGAACGACACTACATCGACAGCAGAAAACATATGAACAGAACTACACTACATGGACAGCAGAAAACATATGAACAGAACTACACTACATCGACAGCAGAAAACGTATGAACAGAACTACACTACATCGACAGCAGAAAACGTATGAACAGAACTACACTACATGGACAGCAGAAAACATATGAACAGAAAGAACTACATCGACAGCAGAAAACGTATGAACAGAACGACACTACATCGACAGCAGAAAACATATGAACAGAACTACACTACATGGACAGCAGAAAACATATGAACAGAACTACACTACATCGACAGCAGAAAACGTATGAACAGAACTACACTACATGGACAGCAGAAAACATATGAACAGAAAGAACTACATCGACAGCAGAAAACATATGAACAAAACTACACTTCATCGACAGCAGAAAACGTATGAACAGAACTACACTAGATCTGCAGCAGAAAACGTATGAACAGAACTACACTACATGGACAGCAGAAAACGTATGAACAGAACTACACTTCATCGACAGCAGAAAACATATGAACAGAACTACACTACATGGACAGCAGAAAACGTATGAACAGAACTACACTTTATTCTAGCGATTGCTGGATTGATCCTCACGTGGAGATCACCGTCACAAAGCCAATCAATTGTCCAGTCTTGTTGTGATGCGTCATCACAGCATCGGACATTGCCACAATTGTCCCGTACCTGTCTTCAGCAGCCGGTGCAGATTTCCAGTTCGTCATCTTTTCAGCGTGTGAGCGTGTGTGTATGTGTGTGTGTGTGTTTGGTGCATTCGCTTGTTAACTAACGCAGTGTTGGACATTGCTCCTCCCATCTTCTCATCACCACCACTACCATCATCATCATCATCACCATCTTCATCATCGTCATGGTGACACAAAGATAACTCGTACCAACGCCCACGGTAGATGCATCTGTTTAATTTGATGTTGTATTTGGATGTGTAATAAGTCCACACGGGACACATTCAACTGGGAGGAGAGACATGGCGTCGGACTGAAGCAGCCAATGACAGACCTGGGTCAATATTGGTTTACTGGACTGGACTAGAGCACAGATAATGACAGACAGTGGTAATTATCCCCAGCCATTGTAGCTGACATTAAAACTAAAGAGAGAATCCGTTGAGAGAATATCTAGTTATGGCGACATCATTCGATTAGTGAACCCTGCTGGTGGCAAAGATGGCTCTGGCTTCACGGACAGGCAGGCAGCCGGAAGTTACATGTGGATTGTGGGACGGAAAATTAGTGTAGCCTGCATGGAAATGTGGATCTTTGATGTGAATATCTCACACGGTCCCCAGGGTGGGTCGTGTTTGGGTGTAGAGAGAGAGAGAGAGAGAGAGAGAGAGATGGCTGACCTCACACGGTCCTCGGGGTGGGTCGTGTTTGGGTGTAGAGAGAGAAAGAGAGAGATAGCTGACCTCACCAGTGCCTGGTATCACCAGGTCGGTGCCCGCCCGCCTGAACAGGAGGATAGGAAATTTATGGAAACGTTGCTGTTTACTAGCTTCTGTGCCATTGCATGGGTCAGTGCGCGAGCGCGCGCGCGTGTGTGTGTGTGTTGCTGCTGCTGCTGCCACTGACAACTATTACTAATTCTCTCTTATTATAATACAATACATACTGCAATGGTGATGTGCATGCTAGACTAATGCGTATGTTGTTGATGTTGTTGTTATCTGTTGATCTTCGCTGTCTGCAGGTGCTGGCCTACGTGGACTTTCTCCACGGCAAGTGGAACTTTTCGGAGATTCGCGCCATCTTTTCCCGTCGCTTCTTGCTGCAGAATGTGGCTATCGAGATTTTCATGGCCAACAGAAGTGAGTACATCTGTGTGTGTGTGTGTGTTTGTGTGTGTGTGTGTGTGAGTGTGTGCAAGGGTATGTGTGTCGATGTCCTTCTGTGTGAATGTCCTCCTGTGTGGATGTCCTCCTGAGTGGATGACCTCCTGTGTGGACGACCTCCCGTGTGGATGTCCTTCTGTGTGAATGTCCTCCTGTGTGGATGTCCTCCTGAGTGGATGACCTCCTGTGTTGATGACCGCCTGTGTGGATGACCTCCTGTGTGGATGACCTCCTGTGTGGATGACCTTCTGTGTGGACCTCCTGTGTGGATGACCTCCTGTGTGGATGACCTTCTGTGTGGATGTCCTCCTGTGTGGATGTCCTCCATCCTGGAAGTCAGGAAGTCACAGCTAGGGCTGCCCCAAACAAATCACATCCCATAGCCACATCTCCCACATAAGTTATCTCTTCCCCGGGGCCGCTGGTAACCCGCTTATGTTCGTTGGCCAGGATTTATTCCGCTGGCTGCAACCACTAATGCGGATTTATGTCATCCGGCTCATGCCCCAGATGTATCTCTTTGTGAACCAGCACCATTTCTCTTGCATGCGGCTCCCACATTTGCAGATAAATGAGGGAAATGTCGTTAATTGTGACTTGAATACAGGGGTTTTCAAACTGCGGCGCAGGGCACACAGTGACCTCTAAGGCTGCCGTGTGCGCATCAGAGAAGTTGTGGTTCTATCTGCTCTCCGTTACGTGGGTCGAATGGCTCAGGCATTGACCCCCACTCTGACCATGGCAAGCTACGATTGGCTCTCTGTATTTCCACAATAATATGAAAGGGTGGCTGACTTCCGCTTGATCCACGGGTAGTAGATCGCACATCTTCTCTTCTCGGATAATGGTAAGTGATCGAACAGATTCATGTGCACGTTGTGCACACATAATTTATCTTGGTGTTGGAAATATAAACGTGCAGATGGGTAGATCGTTGCCCAGGTGACATTTCCGGCTAGAGAACATATACACGCACACTCGAGCATATTCACCAGATGTTGTTTAGTTGGTTGGTTGGTTTCTTTGTTTGGTAAGGTGGTTGGTTGGCTAACTGGTTGGTAGACTGGCTGACTGTCAGTCTTCTAAAATAATAACAAATGGAACTTGAGGTCCTATACACAAGCTGTTGTGTGTCGATGTGAGGTTAGGGTAGAGACGTTTCGCTTGAACCAGGACTGTGTTGCAGAGCTGGTATATCCCGACCTCACAGCCGATTAGTCAGCAACTGCTGGGCATTAAACAGAGACCCCTGTCTTTGGTAAGCCAGCACAGTAATCAACCCTCCACCGCCACTGCTGCCATCCCTACACACTAGTAGTGCTACAACATATAACCAGGATAGTTATCCCAGCAGTCAAATAGAAGAAACCAAATCCAAAATAGAAAACACGTAAATAGGTTTTCCAATGACGAGACAATACAAGGGACAAGAGCCGGCTTGACTTTGGCGATGGGAGACCAGATAATCTGGGATGTTGGTGGAGCAGACTTGGCGCTCACTGAGGCGGGAGTCAAGCCTGGGTTGAGCAGACGACCCAGCAGCCAAGATTGACAAGTGACAGAGCCGACTGATAGAACACGGCTAGAGAGATGCCGCCGCTGATAATGATGGTTATCCTGTCGCTGACAGTTTCGGCGCGGGCTTTGGTGCTAGATTGTTTTCTGTTTACTCTTGGTTGAGTGCTGACACACGACGTCATCGACTTGATACTTTCTCTGAGAGTGCTGACACACGGCATCCTGGACTTGATACTTTCTCTGAGAGTGCTGACACACGGCGTCATCGACTTGATACTTTCTCTGAGAGTGCTGACACACGACATCATCGACTTGATACTTTCTCTGAGAGTGCTGACACACGGCATCCTGGACTTGATACTTTCTCTGAGAGTGCTGACACACGACATCATCGACTTGATACTTTCTCTGAGAGTGCTGACACACGACATCATCGACTTGATACTTTCTCTGAGAGTGCTGACACACGACATCATCGACTTGATACTTTCTCTGAGAGTGCTGACACACGACATCATCGACTTGATACTTTCTCTGAGAGTGCTGACACACGGCGTCATCGACTTGATACTTTCTCTGAGAGTGCTGACACACGACATCATCGACTTGATACTTTCTCTGAGAGTGCTGACACACGGCATCATCGACTTGATACTTTCTCTGAGAGTGCTGACACACGGCGTCCTGGACTTGATACTTTCTCTGAGAGTGCTGACACACGACATCATCGACTTGATACTTTCTCTGAGAGTGCTGACTCACGGCGTCATCGGCTTGATACTTTCTCTGAGAGTGCTGACACACGGCGTCATCGGCTTGATACTTTCTCTGAGAGTGCTGACACACGGCGTCATCGACTTGATACTTTCTCTGAGAGTGCTGACACACGGCATCCTTGACTTGATACTTTCTCTGAGAGTGCTGACACACGGCATCCTTGACTTGATACTTTCTCTGAGAATGCTGACACACGGCATCCTTGACTTGATACTTTCTCTGAGAGTGCTGACACACGGCATCCTTGACTTGATACTTTCTCTGAGAGTGCTGACACACGGCATCCTTGACTTGATACTTTCTCTGAGAGTGCTGACACACGGCGTCATCGACTTGATACTTTCTCTGAGAGTGCTGACACACGGCGTCATCGACTTGATACTTTCTCTGAGAGTGCTGACACACTTCATCCTTGACTTGATACTTTCTCTGAGAGTGCTGACACACGGCATCTTGGGCTTGATACTTTCTCTGAGAGTGCTGACACACGGCGTCATCGACTTGATACTTTCTCTGAGAGTGCTGACACACGGCATCCTGGGCTTAATACTTTCTCTGAGAGTGCTGACACACGGCGTCATCGACTTGATACTTTCTCTGAGAGTGCTGACACACGGCATCCTTGACTTTATACTTTCTCTGAGAGTGCTGACACACTTCATCCTTAACTTGATACTTTCTCTGAGAGTGCTGACACACTGCATCTTGGGCTTGATACTTTCTCTGAGAGTGCTGACACACGGCGTCATCGACTTGATACTTTCTCTGAGAGTGCTGACACACGGCATTCTGGGCTTAATACTTTCTCTGAGAGTGCTGACACACTTCATCCTTGACTTGATACTTTCTCTGAGAGTGCTGACACACGGCATCCTTGACTTGATACTTTCTCTGAGAGTGCTGACACACGGCGTCATCGACTTGATACTTTCTCTGAGAGTGCTGACACATGGCGTCATCGACTTGATACTTTCTCTGAGAGTGCTGACACACTTCATCCTTGACTTGATACTTTCTCTGAGAGTGCTGACACACGGCGTCATCGACTTGATACTTTCTCTGAGAGTGCTGACACACGGCATTCTGGGCTTAATACTTTCTCTGAGAGTGCTGACACACGGCGTCATCGACTTGATACTTTTTCTGAGAGTGCTGACACACGGCATCCTTGACTTGATATTTTCTCTGAGAGTGCTGACACACTTCATCCTTGACTTGATACTTTCTCTGAGAGTGCTGACACACGGCATCTTGGGCTTGATACTTTCTCTGAGAGTGCTGACACACTGCGTCATCGACTTGATACTTTCTCTGAGAGTGCTGACACATGGCATCCTGGGCTTGATACTTTCTCTGAGAGTGCTGACACACGGCGTCATCGACTTGATACTTTCTCTGAGAGTGCTGACACACGGCATCCTTGACTTGATACTTTCTCTGAGAGTGCTGACACACTTCATCCTTGACTTGATACTTTCTCTGAGAGTGCTGACACACGGCATCTTGGGCTTGATACTTTCTCTGAGAGTGCTGACACACTTCATCCTGGACTTGATACTTTCTCTCAGAGTGCTGACACACGGCATTATCGATTTCATACTTTCTCTGAGAGTGCTGACACACGGCATCATCTACTTGATACTTTCTCTGAGAGTGCTGTGGCAAGATTCTTTGCCAAAGTCTGTATCGCACATTTCCTTCTCTGTATCGCCCATGTCATTGTCTTATCGTCTATATAAATGTCTGTATCGTACATCTCAGTGTCTGTATCGTACATGTCCTTCTCTGTGTCATCCATGTCACTGTCTGTATCTTACATTTCCTTCTCTGTGTCATCCATGTCATTGTCTGTATCTTACATGTCATTCTCTGTGTCATCCATGTCACTGTCTGTATCTTACATTTCCTTCTCTGTGTCATCCATGTCATTGTCTGTATCTTACATGTCATTCTCTGTGTCATCCATGTCACTGTCTGTATCTTACATGTCATTCTCTGTGTCATCCATGTCATTGTCTGTATCTTACATGTCCTTCTCTGTGTCATCCATGTCACTGTCTGTATCTTACATGTCATTCTCTGTGTCATCCATGTCAGTGTCTGTATCTTACATGCCCTTCTCTGTGTCATCCATGTCACTGTCTGTATCTTACATGTCATTCTCTGTGTCATCCATGTCACTGTCTGTATCTTACATGTCATTCTCTGTGTCATCCATGTCACTGTCTGTATCTTATATGTCCTTCTCTGTGTCATCCATGTTACTGTCTGTATCTTACATGTCATTCTCTGTGTCATCCATGTCAGTGTCTGTATCTTACATGTCATTCTCTGTGTCATCCATGTCACTGTCTGTATCTTACATGTCATTCTCTGTGTCATCCATGTCACTGTCTGTATCTTACATGTCCTTCTCTGTGTCATCCATGTCACTGTCTGTATCTTACATTTCCTTCTCTGTGTCATCCATGTCACTCTCTGTATCTTACATGTCATTCTCTGTGTCATCCATGTCACTGTCTGTATCTTACATGTCATTCTCTGTGTCATCCATGTCAGTGTCTGTATCTTATATGTCCTTCTCTGTGTCATCCCTGTCACTGTCTGTATCTTTGTCATCCATGTCAGTGTCTGTATCTTACATGTCCTTCTCTGTGTCATCCATGTCACTGTCTGTATCGTTCATGTCCTTCTCTGTGTCATCCATGTCACTGTCTGTATCTTACATGTCCTTCTCTGTGTCATCCATGTCAGTGTCTGTATCGTACATCTCAGTGTCTGTATCGTACATGTCCTTCTCTGTGTCATTCATGTCACTGTCTGTATCTTACATTTCCTTCTCTGTGTCATCCATGTCACTGTCTGTATCTTACATGTCCTTTTCTGTTTCATCTATGTCACTGTCTGTATCTTACATGTCCTTCTCTGTGTCATCCATGTCATTGTCTGTATCTTACATGTCATTCTCTGTGTCATCCATGTCACTGTCTGTATCTTACATTTCCTTCTCTGTGTCATCCATGTCACTGTCTGTATCTTACATGTCCTTTTCTGTTTCATCCATGTCACTGTCTGTATCTTACATGTCCTTCTCTATGTCATCCATGTCAGTGTCTGTATCTTACATGTCCTTCTCTGTGTCATCCATGTCACTGTCTGTATCTTACATGTCCTTCTCTGTGTCATCCATGTCACTGTCTGTATCTTACATGTCATTCTCTGTGTCATCCATGTCACTGTCTGTATCTTACATGTCATTCTCTGTGTCATCCATGTCACTGTCTGTATCTTACATTTCCTTCTCTGTGTCGTCCATGTCACTGTTTGTATCTTACATGTCCTTCTCTGTGTCATCCATGTCACTGTCTGTATCTTACATGTCCTTCTCTGTGTCATCCATGTCAGTGTCTGTATCTTACATGTCCTTCTCTGTGTCATCCATGTCACTGTCTGTATCTTACATGCCATTCTCGGTGTCATCCATGTCACTGTCTGTATCTTACATTTCCTTCTCTGTGTCATCCATGTCACTGTCTGTATCTTACATGTTCTTCTCTGTGTCATCCATGTCACTGTCTGTATCTTACATGTCCTTCTCTGTGTCATCCATGTCACTGTCTGTATCTTACATGTCCTTCTCTGTGTCATCCATGTCATTGTCTGTATCTTACATGTCCTTCTCTGTGTCGTACATGTCAGTGTCTGTATCTTACATTTCCTTCTCTGTGTCATCCATGTCACTGTCTGTATCTTACATGTCCTTCTCTGTGTCATCCATGTCACTGTCTGTATCTTACATGTCCTTCTCTGTGTCGTCCATGTCACTGTCTGTATCTTACATGTCCTTCTCTGTGTCATCCATGTCACTGTCTGTATCTTACATGTCCTTCTCTGTGTCATCCATGTCACTGTCTGTATCTTACATGTCCTTCTCTGTGTCATCCATGTCAGTGTCTGTATCTTACATTTCCTTCTCTGTGTCATCCATGTCAGTGTCTGTATCTTACATGTTCTTCTCTGTGTAATCCATGTCACTGTCTGTATCTTACATTTCCTTCTCTGTGTCATCCATGTCACTGTCTGTATCTTACATGTCCTTCTCTGTGTCATCCATGTCATTGTCTGTATCTTACTTGTCCTTCTCTGTGTCGTTCATGTCAGTGTCTGTATCTTACATGTCATTCTCTGTGTCATCCATGTCATTGTCTGTATCTTACATGTCCTTCTCTGTGTCATCCATGTCACTGTCTGTATCTTACATGTCCTTCTCTGTGTCGTCCATGTCACTGTCTGTATCTTACATGTCCTTCTCTGTGTCATCCATGTCAGTGTCTGTATCTTACATGTCCTTCTCTGTGTCATCCATGTCACTGTCTGTATCTTACATGCCATTCTCGGTGTCATCCATGTCACTGTCTGTATCTTACATTTCCTTCTCTGTGTCATCCATGTCACTGTCTGTATCTTACATGTCCTTCTCTGTGTCATCCATGTCAGTGTCTGTATCTTACATGTCATCCATGTCAGTGTCTGTATCTTACATGTCCTTCTGTGTCATCCATGTCACTGTCTGTATCTTACATGTCCTTCTCTGTGTCATCCATGTCACTGTCTGTATCTTACATGTCCTTCTCTGTGTCATCCATGTCACTGTCTGTATCTTACATGTCCTTCTCTGTGTCATCCATGTCACTGTCTGTATCTTACATGTCCTTCTCTGTGTCATCCATGTCACTGTCTGTATCTTACATGTCATCTTCTCTGTGTCATCCATGTCACTCTCTGTGTCTTACATGTCTGTATCTTCTCTGTGTCATCCATGTCACTGTCTGTATCTTACATGTCCTTCTCTGTGTCATCCATGTCACTGTCTGTATCTTACATGTCCTTCTCTGTGTCATCCATGTCACTGTCTGTATCTTACATGTCCTTCTCTGTGTCATCCATGTCACTGTCCATGTATCTTACATGTCCTTCTCTGTGTCATCCATCACATGTCATGTCCTTCTCTGTGTCATCCATGTCAGCGTCTGTATCTTACATGTCCTTCTCTGTGTCATCCATGTCACTGTCTGTATCTTACATTTCCTTCTCTGTGTCA